GTAAGAACGCCTTTAAATATATATTTAAGTTTATAAGGCAATCAATCAATCATTAGTGGAGACAAACTTCGGTAGAATTGAAGAACGGAAGGAATGCTGGACCTATGAGTGAACGATGAGTCGTAGGTTTGTATAACTGATGACTATCTCTGTCTCTGTAATCCTGGTCCACGGAAAGTATGAGATAACGCTTAAAAAGCTACAGGAGTTTCTCCGAACCCGGTACTTACCTGATCTCCCTCCATTTCCGATCCCGTTGGGTTTAAATTTCATGGTATCACCTAACGGCACAATCTGTTCTTATAATAACGAAAAGCACAATTAAAGACGCGTGGCATCATGTGAAAATGAGGATGAAATTTTGATGGTGAGACTTCGCGATTCAGTCAACAAGAGTTGTTCCTTTTCCTGGAATGAGTCAGGCTAAAATGCGAAAAGGGTGGATAAAGCGAACACCAAACCCTTTCTCCGCTGTGCGGGAACCAAATTCCCACTCAAAATACCGAACTTACTATGTCACATAAATCCGGTATGGGCATGCCCACAATCCGGTCTCTCAGGATGTTTGATCCTTTAAGTCAACATGCGTAAGATGAAATGAGCCTGAAGGTAATGAGTATGCCTTTGCGTTACCAAGTGAATGGGGCTATCATCAATATAAGTGTGGGATGGTACCGCGGTAGAGGTTAGTCCACCCATCAAAATTCATCTATGAGGCACCACACTGCACCACAGCGCTAAAATCACTGTTCCCATAAAGCACGTCATCGGAAGAAAGATGGAGTAAAATGGGATTTCAACATACAATCAAGGTCCAAAATTATCCAAGTTCCGGGAGTCCTCGAGTCTCAAGTTCCGGAACCTAAATTAGTCTACTATCACGAAAAGACGACGTAAAGGGAAAAAAATTTGCGGCCTCTGTACCCAACGTGCGCGGCAACCGATCGCATATGATATAGATGTGTGTGATAGACTGAACATGAATTACAAGACCATTAACAAAGCGTCGTATGTCAATATCGGAGCAACTTCTCGATATCTTCCGACCTCAGCTTGAACGAGCATTTGAAAGGGAGGGGTACACTTGAAATACTGTTAATCAATGTATTAGAGTTGAGAGATGAGCCTTATGCACTTAGCAAAGTCAGTTTGATATTCATGAGTCGGCTCAATAACATTCCCATCCTGGTCCACTGCTTTACTGATGTCGAAGGCCGCCATCATCAAGGCCAAGGTAATCCAGATTGTAGACAGCGCCAAGTTACACCCAGGGCATTCTCTGGCGTCCACAACTATTGTTCAAGAGTGCGCCAGCTGAGAAAGTAAGGATATATTACCTTCTTCCGAACCCAAATGCTACATGCTTGGGATCCTTTACTTCGGGTCTAATTTTCCATCTTTGATGTATCGATCCGGATTGAATTCAAAAGGTTCCGGGTAGATAGTCTCGTCATGGAGCATAGCCCTTCCGATCGAATGGATCAGGAATATTCCTATAATTATGTAAACAAACCATACGGATACACACCATGAATTGGCCATTACAATCGAACCCGCTGGGATTCGGTATCCATTATACTCATCATCGGCAGTGGTATAATGTGGAAAACCTGTGAGAGATTATTAGGAATATTGTTGTCGGGTCCAGGGGACAGCTTACCAAGAGGTGCCACATCTCTCCATCCCAATGCTTCTTTAACGACAGCTGTCACATAAGGCAGGGAATCCTGACCTTCAAATCCGGGTAGTTGCCCAAAGCCGAGGATCGAATCCATTTCCTGTTGAGCTTTCTTCAGCGCTTTGGGATTCGTTAGTAGTCCCAAGACGCAAGACCCTATAGCTGCCACCATCTAGTGTATACATATTGGTTTGAAGTGGTAGAAAAGTCGACTTTTTATCAAAAGCCTACAGTATCCATACCACCTATGACCGTATCAGTAGCATACCCACTGAAAATTGCCGTGATATCCAACCTAAATACAAGCCCCAAGCCGCGTTTCTGATGATCGATTCTTCGTAGGCCGGGTCTTGACTGGTCCATGATTTCTCCAAACAATGCGAAGCAAAGCACGGGGTAGCATTTCCGTTCTCCTAAATGCCGGTCGGTGCAAAATGTTATTGACAGATGCGGGGTTCTTACAACGTTTTGTTTTGTAGCTTCGAATGGCATGTCAGGATTTTCAATGCGACTTTTCTCCACTCCTTCGCCTTGCATTTGAAGCTGGCAAAAGGCATCCAATCAGGCACATATTTAAGCACTGGGAGGGCATCGACGAAATTGGCAACCTCGGTCTTATATGATATTAGAAAAATTTGACATCAGGACCACAAGTTGAGGCATCATACCTGCTAGAATATATTTGAGATCTTTTTTCGAGAAGTTCCACTACTACCTCAGCTTTGTCCACAACGACAATTGAAGTTCCTGCAACACTCAGATGAATGATATCCGTCTCTGTATAGGTGGGTCAGGGGTACGTTTTTCGGACAGGGCGACTTGGACACTCACGTAGGTCCTTATACCACCTGTGGTATGTAACCCATGCAAGTTTTGTTGGTACATTAAACAGATTTCCGACCAATGGTAACTTCTTGGGGCCTGGGGGAAGAGGCAAATGTCGGTAAGAATTTCTGAAACCTCTGAAGTCGACGTAGACGACGAGCGAAAAGCAGACAAAGGACAACAACAGGCTGGACAGGGCCATGGCGCCCTTTAATCTGAAAAAGTGTGGTAAATGTACGTTGCAATACCGTTGGCGGCAAGTTATGCTATGGGAAGTAATTGATCTTGCCTTTATTCACGGCTATCCGGGTTACGGATTCGTTCAGGTGGAATAAAAGTGAATGATCGATTTTCTTCCCATTTCTGGCCCACTAAACTTGGTTTCCACGAGGTAATGCCCATAGCCTGATTGGATATCATTCATATCATCTGACGGTATGAACCAACCACTACTCAATTAAGTTCCATCCATATTAAGGAAATCAACTTTCAGTTCAAATCACAAACCATACTGTCGATTCAAAGTGATATGGGCCCGCGTCTCACCCTCCTCGAGCCTGATCCATGTCTCTACCCCTTTATTGGGGTCAGGAGATGTGAATAGCAAGTTTCGCACACCATAACCCCAGTCGTCCCCAGTATATCCACCATACCTAACACATTCCGGTTAGATGTGAATGTTAGAGAAGTGGTGTCATCGAAGCGCACCCTGAATGTTTGTCGAAGCAGAATATCACATCTTTGATGGGTTCCCGGACACACCACTCGTTCCCGTGATCTAGGAACTCGTTAGCGAGTTGGCGCCGATCGAATTATAATTATAGGTACCGTGTCCAGATATCAGCGCGTGGAGGTTCTTAATATACTTATTCAAGGCATCCCAAAATATGGCATCTTTTCCGAGAGACGTAGGATCTGTGGTAGCTTGTACCGAGCCAAGACCCTCGAGAAGGTCAGCTGCCAAGGGCATCAGTCTTTGAGTATTGCACCAGAATGCGGGGTGCACCATTGAGACCTGGATCCTTCTTGCTGTCAATGCCAGGTTGCAGTTCTTGAGCAATAAACCTAGTGGGAGTGGTATATTCAAGGTGTCCAAGCTGAAAAAGGGGTTCTTATACATACGGAGGTATATGAACAAAAGCTAGTGCACCTCTTTTCTCAGCTGGTCCCCATGCCTCATCCATAATTTTCGTTTCAGACTCAATCCAGTCCGCAACGCTTACATCAACCCAATCCGGCAGTCTCGTGGAGTTGGCCCCAGGTGAAAAGCCACCGCGGGAGTCGAAGAACCAAAGGATAAGCACAGGTGCGAGGTCTGCAATGTAACGAAGGTGAGTGATGTAAAACTACCAGTGTAGTTGACGATTATACCTGTTTTCGTCCTGTAAATCTAGAGGATAATCGGTCCAGGAGATGGGAAGTACAGGTTGAAGCTTACAGGGACCCAATAATTACCTGGCCCTCCTTCGCCCCCAACTCCCTTAGGCCCCATACGTGTGTAACTTAACGGCGCGACAGACTGTTCTCTGAGAATTTCGTCCACATGGCTGATATTTGCTTGGTTGTCGTGATTCTACGAACAAGTCAGATAGGTGGTGACCGCAAGGTGGATCGGTGTACCCCATGCGATGATGAGAATGGAACCTCGATATCGTTGAGAGGCTTCACGATTTGATCGATGAGGGTCGTCGCGTTCTCTTTGAAAGTGTCTGGACAGGTAATAAGATTAGATTTAAAAAATCACGATCAGTATATGCGTACTTTCTCCCGTAATCAAATCTCCATTCAGAACACTGAACTCGCGTGAGAAAAGCATATCTGATATAGGTGATATTGCGCCGTACACGTACACATAGTCTGGTCTCTCATCCCCAAGGACTCGCTTCATTACACGGGTGCTATTCGCGTCCTGCTCTGGCCCCCAGACATCCCAAGGATTTTCACCAAAATGCAGATCTGAGAATATGGTGAGTTTGAAGGTACCATTGGCTTTGAACGTAAGACGAGGTTTCAGGGGGTAAGGATCGAGGTTGTGCTGTTTGTCCAGCGGAAGAATCGTATGTTCTTTGAGAGCGTCGGTTAAGTGGGCTCAAAAATAATGCTCTGGGACTTACGAGTCGGCATGCCATGGGTAAGTTGTTCTAAGACTGAGAATAACCAAATCCACAGTGGCAATTTCATATTGAACCGATTGAAAAGAACATGCAGTGACACGGGTTACGTCTTAAAAAACGTCGGGTTTTTGTAGTTGTTTCCATCCTTCGAATTTTCCGCCCTCCAAGGTCACGATGGCCCAAAGGATGCAAATGCCAAATTTGCTTCTAAGTGACGCACGTGTGTGCATAAAGATACCAACCATGTAGGCTTTTTCGCATGGTCCAAATTCCTCCACTGAAGGAGTGCGTATCAAAGGTAGAATTGAAAATTAGCAAATCTTTGTTGTGATGTCTAAGTTCAAGAGTATCCTCTGCATTCCTTGCCGCGCCTATTTTTATAAGCATTAATGGGGTAGTGGTAACCTGGGTCGTTGCCATTATTAGACATCGACCCGCCGGGAGTTCGATTCTCTCTTAATGCAGGCTCATTTTTATTTTTCCATTCAATCCTTTACAAGAATGGTAAATACTCTGTTCTGCGATGGTGGATTTGTCGTAGGTCGTAAACGTCAATATACTTCTACGGCGCAAACAATAATTTATTTGCGGATCAGAGGTGTGCCAAAAAAAAAAAAAAGACGATAGAAAATCCGTCTGTACTTCAAAGAAAGAATGACAGGCCATAACCGAGCCCAGGTATTTAGTATTCACTGACTGCTGTTTGGCGAATCAAAGCCTCAGCCTCCTTCGACCGAGGTTTGATAACACATTTGAAAGGTAGAGGCATGCTATTGGGATGGATCAGCAGCTATCGAAAAGCTGAACAAGCCCTTGACGTACCAGACCAAAGCAGACAAATATTCGTGTGTCGGTTCAATGACATTCCCGTTTTCGTCGACAGCCTTGGCGATATCTAGCGTTGCGATGATCGACGCGACGGCTATCCACACGGACGAGAAGGCCATGTAGCGACCAGGGCATATCCTGGAAATTTTATCAGCGCTGATAGTGACCCTGAATGGAAATGAATGCAAACCGTCGGCCGAAGCCCCATGTAGCGTGGGCGGGATCCCGGACCGCAGGGTTAAGTTTTCCATCTTTCATAAACCTGTCAGGGTTGAACTCTAGTGGCTCAGGGTATAGGTTCTCATCGTGGAGCATGGCCCTATTTTTTTTCAAGAAAAGAAGGGGGAAAATCAATATAAAAGGTCGTGGATAGCGTGGCGCTCCGGGCACTCACCAAGCATTAGGGATGATAATCGAACCTGCTGGGATCCTGTAGCCCTTGTACTCGTCCTCGACATGTAAGTAGTGTGGTACAGCTGTCAGGAGTTAGCAAAATGTTGAACGTGGGTAGAAAAAGTTCTCACCAATCGGTACGACATCTCGCCACCTAAGTGTTTCTTTCACGATTGCAGTAATGTAGGGCAAAGAGGCCTCATCTTCGAAGTCCGGGAGCTGGCCAGGCCTCACAACTGAATCGATCTCCTGTTGTGCTTTCTTCAAGACGTCCGGGTGTGAGAGTAAACCTAAAACGCATGATGCGATGGCGGACACAGTCTATTGAAAAGCTGTCAATTCCACTTGATCACACAAATCCAAGCTACCACAACGCACTGTATCAGATCCAGCTGAAGGGTCAAGAATGTGAATAACAATATTCAAATGACAACCCGAAAAAAACAAACATCGTACCTGCATACATGGTACCCGCAGTAGACTTGATAACATATTCCTGATAAGCCATATCCTTAGTCTCATCCATATTCTCCAGGCTGTAGGCAGTGAACGATGGGGTTGTATCTCCATTTGCCTGGGACTCAGTTAGACAAGATCGAGTAAAACAAAACAAAAAAAATCAGCTCACGATGTTTTTCTTGGCTGCTTCGAACGGAACATTGATCATCCTGAGAGCTAACTTCTTCCACTCTTTCGCCTTCCTTTGGAACCCAGCAAACGGGATCCATTCAGGAACATACTTTAGAGCAGGGATCACGTCTACAAGAAAAGCGCCAGGGACCGCTGCAGCAACGAGAGGGTGAACGCCTTGCTCAGCAGTCGCGATATAAGGGTCATCCTTGGGCTTGACATCAATTCCGTACGCAATAGACATGATCGTCTCGCCAGCCATACTGTAACAATGTCACTTATCGCAATAAAAGTACAATTAAAATAAACTTACTGGCGAAGATTACCAATAAGGTTATGCGGCTCTTCCAACATGCGGCGAAGCAGCCCGTGAGTGGCCTTAATTTCATGGGGACGGAAACGTTTTGCCGCAGCCGGATGGAAAGCTTGATGCATCAACCGACGGTGGAAGCGCCTAACGCGATCATTAACAACTGCCTCTGGCTTGTAACAGTAGTGCATTACCAGTGGTCGCCATAAGCCATGAACCCAAAGTTAAAACTCCAACCCATCAATTCGTTGATCATCGGCATCCTGGCCCTGAAATGCAGATATTCGTGGGGGTTGTTCAAAACCGTGTTTAGATGTAACATACCTTCCGGAATAAATTGACGATCGCTTCTCCAACAATTCCGTCGCAGCCTCCGAAGTATCCAACACAACAATGGAAGTTCCCGCAACATCCAGATGGATAATATCCGTGTCTAGAGGAATAGATGATCAGTTTTATGGTCGAAGCATATACTTGAGACCACTCACTGAGCTCCTTACACCACTTATGGTACGTCTTCCACTCAAAACTCGTTGGCATATCCAGGAGATTGCCAATTAGCGGTAGTTTCTTTGGACCAGGCGGGAGGGGTAAGCTCCGCTTGCCGGAACGTTTAACATAGAGATACAAAATGAGCGAAAAGGAGGCCGTACTGGCCAAAAGGTCAAGGTGGATCATAGTCACAACGAAGAAGGGGGAGAATATCGGACCCATAAGAAAGGCTATCCATTTAAATATATCAGTATTCGACCCTTTTTAGAAGTGTCTCCAAGCACATTTGTCTGGTAACCGGTTCACAGTGAAGGGTCCACTTGTGGAGTGTCCGATTTACGTCTTTTTTCAGGCACGACAGGTCCCCGTTGAGGCTGGAAACATCGGATGTGTGACCCGTGTGCGTTAGACTGCCATGAGGCGGTTTAAAGAAAACCAGGAAGGAAAAATACTCACACTATGCTGAGTCACCGTCAGTAAAGACATGTGTACCGTATGACGAGTGCCCTCCGTATACGAACCCACGCTTGAATCACCTTTCAAAGGTCATAATCAATCGGGGGCCGGACTCAAAACTGTCAGAATAATTATGCAGGTTTTATTATTGGTGGCTATTGGTGGCTCACCAGAACCGGTCAACCCTGACGTCGGGGTTGAACGTTGAACCAGTTGAACCTTGGGAATTGGGATGACTGCGATTGCCAAGTTGATTGGCGTTCTTCTTCAACCCCATTCTGACGAGATCCTTGTGATCTTATACCGAGAAGGTACTTGTGCTGTTAAGAGGGCTAATTTTAAGATATCTACATACTCCTACAAGCGCTGTGCCAATCTCGTTTGTGTCTCTCAGTAAAGCCTTGTAACTGATTTGCTGATCAGTTTTATTATTGATAGGAGGTAACTGGTACCAAAGTATCCATCAAGTACTTAACCAAGTTAAACCAACCAAATGTCATACTTGTTCGAGGTAAACTTCCCTACAACTGCTTTTGAGATAGTGCGCGTGATTAGATTTGGCAGCGTAAACAATATCGACACGGCCGTTTGCGGTAGAATTGGGGCAGAGAGACCATAGATCCCGGTGATTGTTAGCTCCTAACAACAGAGGTCCATTAGCTTCAACCACATTTTCCTTGTAATCGCACATCATGAGCCTCCCCGCAATCTAAGTGAACAGGATGGACAAACCATAAAGCAGTAGCCTGCATATGGCGGTGGTGGGAATTGTGTCGAGATGAAGCTAGGTGATTCACCTTCTACAAGAGAAAATGATACGGTTCTCAGCATGGGGCTCGTCGCAGATTTCGGCAGCAAGGTACCCTCTTGAAGGGTATTAAATGACCAAGAACTACCACACGCTGGACAGCTCTAATACAAACCAGAATCAGATACAAGACGCCTGTCCAGTGGGAAACGTACCGAGAGGATGGCGTAGCCGACATGCGGTACAGTATTGACATCGATAACCTTGATGGAGATAGTCGATTCTGGGGTATCTTTGTATACGGCTCGTAGGTTGAAAGTCGGAACCGTGGTTTGCTGACAGGTTTGTGGACCCTGTGGTTCTGAATTGCTGTCTTGATACAGAGTGATTCGGCTACGGCCACCACATAGCTTGGTTCGGTCACCATCGCAAGTCATATGACATTCATTGCCATCAACTTGATTCGACGACATCAAATTGTCTCCGCACCCTTTAGATAAATCAACCATCACGTTAAACTTCAATACAGCTATGAAACAATGGGGAAACCTACAGCATTCCGTGGAGTACTCCAAACCACTGTACGAGAATCCGTTTGATTTGCAGCTTGCGGTACATTTTGAAGGTGTAAGCCCCCCCGATACATTGATTCTTTGAGAGAGAATACGAGCGTCAACGTTGTCACTGCAAAAGTTTGATCAGCCTGGATAGCGGAGATGAGAACTAAAACATACGCATAACATCCCTGATACTTCCAAGATGACACGGTCTCAACAACTACAGCATCTGCAATTCCATCATGGTATATATTGATGCGATTTCCAGCTCCACAGGATTCACTTGCGTCCCCGGAACAAGCCATGTTGCATTCATCGAGAGTTGTGGTGATACCCTGGGTTTGAATCGCATAATCACAGACTTTGCATGAAAGAAGTACATTTCAGTATTGGAGTACTGGGGCACAGCTAAGAGTAGGCTTACAGCATTCCTGTGATAAAAATTGATAGGGTATTTTTGCAGTGTAGACGATAGTAAACTTACTCTTCCGTATTCAACACCTGCGTAATGGTATCCTCCAGTCGTACAGAACGCGATGCACGATTCCACAGTCATAGTGTCCGAACTGATGTATGAAGATTCTGCAAGGGTGCGTGCAGGTGAGACATCCCTATGCTACTTGAACACTTGTTGAATAGAAGAAACAGGAACACTGACAAATAACATCCCTTCGAAGTCCATGGATTGGGAAGAACGGATGGAATTGATTGCCTGTAGTAATGAATATGTATACCCAAGACCTGAAAGATTTCGTTGTAAATTTTGTGAATAGATAATTAAGATAATCACCGACATTGGTGATGAAAAAGGTTATTGTCACAAGGGCCAGGGTGGAGATAAAGCGAGCCATGGTGAATCGAAGTGCAGGGCATTGAGGAGAGGCTCTTATACACTTTTGATAATACCATAAGGAATAAGGGAGATAGTTCCGCCGTCATTAAGCATCGGAGTGATGGCGATGATACGTTCTCGCTGGAAAAGGCCGGGGACTCGACCTTGAAGATCGTCCGGCGACTGACGTGATAAAACAATCCTTGTCTTAAGTGCCC